TGCTGCAAAGGGGCCGTCGCACGGAGCACACTAGTTAGGGGCTGACAGTGTCAGTAATGCAGGCGCCGCTCGATTCTGGCGTTGAACTGAACGCGGGGACTCGGCCAAGGCACGATGAACGAATGAAAATGTGAGAAATGACATCTCTAGCGCCTCATTCATTACTCCGTATTCTACAACGTATTAGTGGTGCCTCCTCCGAGTCCTCTCCGTGGCCGACAACCGTGGTGGCGCAGGTTGCGATACACCACCCATGGCCCTGCCAATTTTGTCCAACGCCATTTCGCCAAGCATGGATGTGACTTTCGACCTGCCTATTTGACTTGTTGCAGCCCGGCTAGTTCATATGTCATATGTCAGGGGCGGCGTCGTGCTTGCTACATACCAGTGTTATTATTGCATGGTCCAAAGCATTTTACCAAAAAGCTTGACAACAGTCGGCCGGCTTTGATGCAGCCTTGTAGCTGCAGCAAAAAACACCGATTCAGAGACATTCTCTCACACAGCTACTAGTTTCACCCCACCCACTGGAACTTGTCCCTGGCGCAGATCGCGCACTTTGCTGCCGCCGGAAGCTGCAATCAGGCCTCGCTACTGAAGCTTCTGAAACTGACACTTAGTCAACCGATTGCTAGGCGCCGTGGTGATGGCCACGATATTAGCTAGAGGTGTGCATTGACCTGGCCAAGACATGGACTTGAAGCCGCCCCTGTGGCTGATTTGGCATCTGGATGATAACTTGACAGTCATCTAACCTTTGCATAAACCCGTGCGGCTTCGCGATTACTCAAATTACTGACAAGCGGACCCCTGACAAGGTAATGCAGACAGAGCAGGCAACGAGGCGTGTTGATCTTGGTTGCGCCTTGGAAATTGGTGCCACGCCTGGCCTCGGCGTTGGTGTCGCCGACTGGTCACCTCCCTCACGTGTGGTGCTTGAGCTGCGTAGCACACCAGGCTACCTGCATTTATGCCCGATATGCTGCTCATGATGGCATCAGTCGACACACCAGACTCAGCCCTAGGAGAGTTTGTGCGTCGTTCATAGGCTGTGGCCGCGCCAGCGCACCGGCCGTGACTAACAAGCCCCGAAAGTTGTGTCCAGAACAGGCACCAACGAGAACAACCGCCGAAAGGCTACATGGGCGCCTCCGGGTCGGACGGTAAGGTCATCGGCATATGACGAGCGCAGCTTGCTCAGCCAGCGCCATGAATGATTAGAACGGCGGCGTGCGGCTGTGCCCTAAACGATAGGCTTGACCCGCATCACAGGGTGGCATAAGTCATTGATTGATTGCATGGTTCGCATTAACCCGCGGATATATTCCACAGATCTCATTGTCTGTGCTTTGTCTCAGAGCGCCAGCTCGTACCGGCGGGGTGGTCAACAAGATTCTCCGCAGGAGCGAGCGCGCGGCTGATGAAGCATTCAGATGAGGAAAGTCAAATTTATGCTGTCCAATTCGGTGCAACGCAACTCTGGTGCCATGGCGTCAGCCATTGAAAGAGGTCGGAAGGGGCAGCTGAAGGCGCCGCTGAATGTCATTTTTTATTTTTCATGCTCTTTCGTCTCACCTGGCTTGGGGCTGGCCGGGGGCCGACATGACACCGTTGAGACTAGCCGTTTAATAAAGTAGGAGGCGCCGCCAAGAAGGGCACGGAAAGATTGACAGGTATGTAGGTATTGTTGGTAGCCGGCTGGCTATGTACATTGATTGACATTGACCCTCGTCGGCCCAGCATATTGGCCACTTTGCCTCGGTTGTGTTTACCCACTCGGCCATAACTATATTACGTCCCAGAATACCGGTATGTGTGGGGAGAATACGGATACCAGCTGAAGGGACGAGCCGAACGAGGGAGAGAGAAAAATAAAAATGCCGGCTCTGCTGGAAACGCGGCCGTGCAGCCCGCGGTGGCGGTTAGGTGACCGTCTTCACAGCCCATCTCTTTGTATCCATTATTTATTATTTAATAGTTACTTTCTGGGTCTGATCAACCTCAAACATACGACGAGGCCGATGTCCCACGGCGTCCCAGTTGCTGGTCCTTTGTCAACTTCGCTTTCTCGTAACCCCTTCCTTCGGCGTCGCCGATTCTTCATGTTGCTTGCCGTCGACGACCAATTTGTGGCTTTTGGCACGCACACTTTGCTTGACAAGCGCGCAGGCACCCGCCAGCCCGCCGCCCGCAGATGCCACTCCCAGCCTCCAACGCACAAATTTCCTCCCTTTTTTTTTGTCGCAGTCTCGTATCATCTGCCATGTCCACGACCTGCTCAGTACCTAACTAATATAGGCTATTTTTTCAGAGCACGGGCATAGCCATGATTCCAGGCCCACTGTTAGACATCGTCAGGGGTTTCGGCTCAGCATGCACCCACATCCCGGAAATGCACCTGGGAATTTGGTCCGTTGGCAAACTTCTCTCAAGCTCGATATACGGCCATCAGCTCCTACTGTTCTCTGTCATGGACATGATGACCATGATGTATCCTTGCCGTGTCGTTGAGTAAGTCGCTCATTCTGCCATGTAGATGATTGATAATTGAGCACAACGCACAACTGCCAAACGGGTGGCGAATGCATCTCCAAGTTTTAATACAACTTGTCCCTTATTAGTTGTGCTTTCGTATCTGTTACTACGCTATCTCTTTTAAAACACGCTTGGTTATTCTCGCTCAGGTCCACCTGGACAGTTCCGAAAATTCAAAATTTCCTACCAGATGCTGATGCATTCATCCTTTCGACCACGATGCTCGTCGGCAATACGCATTTCCTGCGACCAAACACAGTCCTACAGTAGCGCCAACTAAAGTCACAAAAAAGATCGCCACCGCCATTAGTTTGAAGAAAGCATAACGCTTTTGATCATCTCTTGAGCTACCCAAAGTGGATGGCGGCTGCCCATCATTATTAGCGTTGGTGTAAGTGGGATCTTGTAGTCTGCGGACAAGCAAGCGTACAGCGTCAGTGTCGACAAGTGTGGCTTCATCATCCATCGTTTGTATGGGAGCGAGTTCCATGGGAGACTGAGGCTGCATCTCGGCCAAATTATGCTCCATGTGTCTCCAAAGCTTGCCGAGCCATGATCGAGTGGTGCGGAATGGACGCAGTAGACAAGAGTCCGAGAATAAGTTCGCCATTGTTAAACAGAAGAAATAATGTAGTTTGTTGATGCTATCCTCCCGAATAATCTTCCATTGCGAGACAAAATCGAGCTGTCTTGTGAAGTCTCCTACGTTCCTGCCCTATGACGAGTGACAGCCCTCCGCAACTTCCAACCTCAACCATCCGCATGGTCTGTATAACTACATAACCCATGGTGCTCTTACAGAACTCCTAACAGTAGTTTAAACGGAGACTTGTCCATACCGATGTAGGTAGTTTAGGTAAGTACCTAGGTACAACACACCAGTGAAGTAGGCCGGGCCAGTGGTGAAGCTGCGCTGTCCCGTCGCCCACCCAGGCACCGAGCAGCACGGTTGGGATCGCAGCACTTTTTCGGGTTCGAGACATTATATTGGTCGTCTTCACAGTACTCTGGGGTCTGCACCGACAGTCACGTCTGCACACATGAACCGCGAGAGCGAACAATAGGTCTCTAGCTCATAAGCCCGTGGAACACGTCATCTCCATGTAAGTCCCTTCCTTCCCCAAAACCGCTTCTCGATATCTCTGATTCAGTCTATGTAAGTACTCCTTTTACCAATCGTTTCTCCATTGCTTTCCATATCTCCTCTTGCGAGCAAATAGTGCTGGATTGTCGAGCCTACCGAGCAGCCATCACGCCGCTACTCCAGCGCCGAAAGTCTAAATTCAACTAGATTACGAGCACTATCTAGAGGCATTAGATGAGGGGGGGTGGGTGTATACGGCCTGGACTATAGCAAAGTAAGTTTCGTGATGCATGCATCGGAAATAGGACCCCGACGGACCTAATAACCAAAGAAGGACAGAGTCGCACAACCCCATCAGGCACTCCCCATCAGCAGTCGTTTATTTGATTCAGGAACAGGGTCTGAGAGTTTTCCAGCCGTCTAGACTCTCTATATTTGCTGCTCTAGCCGGCCCCAAATGCAATGTAACGGCATCTTGGCAACTATGTCGGTGAACGACGTTGCACCTCGTGCCCGGCGTCCACGACGACGAGGGGTCGCCGACTCAAAGCCGACGCCAATTGATAGCACGAATAATGGAGGTATAATACAAGCATCGGGTATCCTGAAGAGACTTCCGATAGGTGTCAGGCGGCTGCAGACCCCGGTGATTGGTCAAGTATACTATTAACCATTCGGGGCAGCGCCATCCACCTTTTGGTCTTGGGTCCTGACAGAGAATATACATACTCCTCATAAGCTAGTTAGCCAAACACTGGTCCTATACTGGTTAGACTCGTCATATTCCTAATTCTTATTACAGATTGCAGGTTGCCATGTAAAAAGCCATGCACAGAAGAACTAAAACCTACAATGTCACATGGTATCGGCCGAGTTGGGTGCGTCACGGGGCCGTCGATGCGCAGAATGCTTGGCGGTCGGAGAAAAAGCTTGAAGAGAAAGAAATTGGCGATGATTGTCCAAAATGATGCCATTGGGTTTGAGACGGAATCGACTCAGTATCATACGGTTCTTGGCACGTCTCCTTGGTGGTGGCCGCAACATCCGTGGTGGAGCTCAGGCGCGCCTTTTGGTCGAACACAGCCAAAATTTACTCGAGGCTCTCGAACCTCAACCAAACCCGCTCGCAACCATCAGCCTGGTCAAGCCTCAAGCCTCGAGCCCCGCCACTGCACATCATTATAGCTTCAGGGACAATTAGAGATCCCCGGAGCCTCTGAGGCTGAGACAAACGTCGTCTCCGCGTCGCCTAGGATCTTGGCTGCCCACTTCCAAACGTCTAGAAGAACCGATAAATGCCGCTAGAAGAAACGCCGGCTGCTCCTGTTTCGTCCATCTCCCCTCCCCCCCTTCCGTCCCCACGGTCAGCAAAAAAAAAATAATGAAGGCCAGTGGCAGGATGGGATGTGCTCTCCCCCGCCTGCCATCAGGTGGCCTGCAGCGTCTCGACCGTTTCCGACACCCTGCTCACAGACTCTGGCCAGTGTCACGGCATGGCACGCGGCCGCGGCAGCCGGTTGCGCATCTCTTGCGGGCGTCGTCGTCGTCGTCGCCGTCGTCGACACGAATGCTCTCGTCAACACCCGTGTCGTCGGGCCGAGTCACGCCTGATGTCGAGAGGCTGCGACGTCAGCCCGCCAAGGTGACGCCCGACTATCTGACGCCCATGCCCTCGCACCTCCTGACGACCATGCTGGCCGACCTGGAGGACCCTCGTGACAGGAACACGTCACCGGCGACCCTGGCTCGGGGACCTGGCGGCCCTGGGGCGCCGTCCTCGTCGCCGACGGTCCAATCGCCGCCGCGCCCGCTGCCCCAGGGCCACCACCTGGTCTACTTTCCCCTCCAGGCGGCCCCGTCCCGGCTGGCACCCGACGGCGCGGACCTGGACCACTCCCCCGGCGCCCATTACTCGCGCCGCCTCTGGGCGGGCGGTGAGGTAACGTTCCGCCACAGCAGCCCCCAGCAGCACCGTGCTCGCCAAGACGACCCCAATGGTGATCTCCTCCTCGACGGCAGCCCGTGGACCTGCACGGAAACTATTGGCGACGTGCGGGTGAAGGAGGCGAGCCAGCCGCTGGCCGACACGCACGGCGACGAAAAGGTCTTTGTCGACGTGTGGCGCAGATATGCCCTGGGCCATCCTCGGGGCCACGAGAGTCTCCCGTGGTCCATTGAGGAGCGCCGGACACTTGTCTTTATGAATCCAGGCGAGAACGCGGAAGCCCAGACGAATCCTACTCCCAAAATCGTCAAATGTGAGTTTTTCCTCCCAGTTGTCATGACAAAGACGTGCCCATCTACTTGGCGGAGAAATCAGCGTCAAACTAACCAACATGCAACAACTCCAGACCCTCATGAAGCAGCCCACAGCGTTCAGGTTCTGCCGTCTCCGCGGCATCTCTTTTATTTCTCTGCCCTGACATTTAATGCTCATGCTATCCATTTGGATCCACAGTATGCACGTTCCGTCGACGGTCACCGGGCACCTCTGGTCCATGGACCGCTCACGCTGGCCCTCATGCTGCGGGTGCTGACGGGCTACTCGGGGCAGCTTGTATCGCGTTTCGTGTATCGTAACCACGCACCGCTCTACGTGGATGAGCCTCTGACAGTCAAGGTACGGCCTGTCGCGTCGCGAACTGGCGGCAATGCTCAGCAAGGAGACACGTGGGATGCGTGGGTGGAAGGCCCCGATGGTGGGCTTGCGGCTAAGGGAACAGCTACCATGGCTGGTCGAGCTATACTGTGAAATATACCGTAGAAACATGTACAAGTAACAAGTAATGATGAATAGATAGAGCAATAAGTCAAATAAGAGCAATAAGTCGAATAAGAGCAATAAGTCAAATAAGAGCAATAAGTTAAATAATGAAACAGATTACATTGCCACCTTGAGTCCGTTATATACATGTGCACCTAGTCTAAGCCTCGCCACCATTCCTTTGCAAACCAATGACCCCAACCCAAATACAGAAACAATGACGTGAGTAGTAATAATTTTAAAGAAAAAGCACGCGCATTAAAGAAGTTGAAAGAGTAAAAGAAAGGGCGTCAACTATATTGCAGCATGAACAGAACTGGCAGAATGAGCCAGTTACTCAGCCCAGCCAAACACTTCACTAATTGCCAGTGAGTTGCTCCGCACGCCTGTCAGCGTGATCAAGATGCCCAAGACGTCGAGAAGCAGCAGCAGCAGGGCGGCCGTCATGAAACGGGGGCTAAAGACGCGGTAGAGCATGAGGTGGCGACGCAGCCAGCCAGCCCACGAGATGGTGGCGAGGGCCTCGACGGCGTAGTAGGCAATGTAGACGCCGAGGGCGCGGGAGACGGTCTCGAGGACGCCGCGCTGCTTGGGGCCGACCTTCCAGAGGGCGAGGAGGGGCAGGCTCGCGACGGCGAGGATCTGGGCGGCAAACGTGTTGACGGCAATGATGAGCGGCGCCCACGGATAGCGGAGGGCGAAGAGCGGGATAAAAGCGGCGTCCCACTGGATGCTCGAGAGCACAGCCTGGTGGCCCGTCTTGAAAAAGTAGAAGTTGCCAAGGACGGCGAGCATGACGGGCCCAATCGTCTCCGTCTTGAGGCCGTTGAGGTCGAGGATCTCGCAGAGGGCGAGCAGCTGCCACATCATGGCGGACAGCGCGGCGGCGCCCATGGGCTTGGTGAGCAGCAGGCACGTCCCAAGGACGCTGACGGGGAGCAGCAGGTAGCGCGCGCCATGGGCGTTGGCGTAGCCGAGGATCGTGAGGCGGCCCTCGCTGGGGACGAGGGCGACCGAGGGCGGCGCCCACACAAAGGCGGTGGTGCCGGCGACGACGGTGACGGCGAGCGTGAGCTGCGCGACGTAGACGCCCGTCGTCTTGAGCGCCATCGGGGGCAGGTGCGCGGCGAGCCACTTGCCATTGTCGGCGGCGTCGACGAGCCAGTACGCCGCCGAGAGGAGCAGGCTGAAGCGGAACACGTAGCCGATCCAGGTCGGGGCGAGGCCGGCGTAGGATCGCGTGGGCGTGAGGAAGGACTTGACGAGCACGGGCAGGCCGACGGCCGCGAGAAAGGGGAGGACGACCTGCCACGGCGCCGAGGTGGACGAGGCGCTGGAGCTGTAGTAGGTGGACTGGCAGTACGGCATCTGCTCCTCGCGGCAGAGCTTCGAGTACGAGGCGAGCCGGCCGAGGACGACAAAGGCGACCGAGTGGTAGACGCCCATGTAGCGGTCGACGCGCGACGACTCGATGCGCAGCGAGGAGACGAGTGTGGCGACGCCAAAGGTCGTGATGAAGAAGAGCAGGATGGCGTCTTCCCAGATGGTGTACGAGTTGGACGCGAAGCCGAGCGAGTGGCTGACGGTGAAGACGACGGCCAGCCAACCCCAGAACGTGTCGGGGAGCAGGTTGCGTAGCGTCTTGCCGTGCTTATAGAGCGCGCAGCCGGTGCTGGCAATCAAAATGGTCGCCACGAGCGCGGCCAGTCCGTCCAGCGCTTGGCCCCGGAAGACGGCGGCGGCGGTCAGCGTCGCGACGACGACAATCACACGCACGTCCATGGCCCAGTGCAGGAGGTCCTGGTGCAAGGATTGATCGGGGTGCTCAGGCTCGTCCTGGTCGTCCAAGTCGGCGAGCTGCTTCTCGGCGTAGTCGAGCTCGGCATTGTTGAGCACCACGTACCCGTCATCTTCGGTGCGCGAGGCGTACATGACGAGCACGAGCAAGCCGATGGCAGTCACGAATACGCCCATGACCATGCGCGGCACGTCGAAGCGCGCCCAGAGAGCCTTGCACACGTCGAGATTGCGCGCTTGGTACAGGGCTAGCGCATCGTAGAGGCTTCGGCCGGATAGGCCTTGTTGGTTGGCCGCGGTCCACAGCGACGCAGGGCTGCCCTCGTCGGTCGCGGGCGTGATGCCGCGCGTCTCAAAGTAGAGCTTCTGGTAGCGCTGGATACCGGCAGCGGTTACACGAGAGACAGCAGCCAGGTTGGCCCAGTCGTTGCCGCGAGGGCCGGCAAAGGCTTCTTCAATTGGCATGCCGAGGTTGTTGAAGGGAACGGGAATCCCGAGAAGAAGCGCGAGCGTCGGGACAAGGTCGATTTGATTCACGGGCCGGATTTTGGCATTGGGGGGCGGTACAGCGTGCTCAGGAAGAGTGCGGCCAAAGATGGGCCGCTTGGCGTACATCCAGAGCGCAGCTTCCACTTCGTCATCGCTCTCGCCGCCGTGGTCACCTTTGCTGTCCATTCCGTGGTCTCCCATGACGATGAGAAGTGTGTCGTCATCAATCTTGGAAACAACATTGCGAATAAAATCGTCCATTTGTTGCAGCTTGGAAGTCATGGCGGGGTGCTCAGGACCATAACGGTGGCCAGCATGGTCGACGCCTAGGCAGTGGCCGATGAGCAGATCCCATTGGCTCTTGGCCTTGGGCTCCAGAAGCGGGAATATGTGGTCAATGACGCCGTTGTCAACAGTATGCAGGTCCCAGACATTCAAGCTGTCGTATGCCCTGCTGATGTTGGGCTCAAAGTAGCTGGGGAAGAGACCCCACCAGGTATCATCGCCAATCTGAGCAATCTTTTTGCCGTTATTCTTCAGCTGCATGAGCAGATTATCCTCGTCAATCGCATCGCCTCCGAAATTGCTACCCAAATCTATAAACGTAGGCAAGGTGCCGGTCGTGAGGCCCTTGAGGCGTTGCAGCGTGGCTGTCGGTGGATCGGCAATGAAGGGTCGGAGGAAGGCATTCTGCGGTGACTTGACGGCCATCTCGTGGAGAACAGGAAAGGCATTGTGGTAGGCATGCGGGCTGTCGACAGCGTGGGGGACGGTAAAATCATATCGAAGAGCATCAATGAGAATGACGACAGCGCGGTCAAACGTCTTGGGGTGCCAACATCCTTTGTCCGGGGTGGGGAGGCCCTTGGTCCCGTCAATGGGTGGCGCGTCGCAGGACGACTTCTCGTCGAGCACGAGCCTGGTCAGCAAGAAGCCCGTCGTGAAGAGCCAGATCCCAATGGCGTGGATGGCGAGCATCCAGACCCAAAAGGCGACCGTCCACAGCCAGCGCTTCTCGTACCGCGTCTGCCGCAGCTTGTTGAGCTTCTCGCGCTTCTTCTGCAGGGCATTGGCCCGCTCCCGTTCGGTGAGCAGGCCCTGGCTGACCGCTTGGGCGTCGGCCGCTTCCTTGGCCTTTTTCGCCTTTTCCCACTCGGCGGCAATGGCCTTGTATTCGGTGAGGGACGGCCCCTTGGCCTTTGCGCCGCGTTGCGACATGTTTTACGCGGCGGTGTTGCTGTGCTATGACCGAATCGCAGCCATTGGTCGTGTAAAGCGGGTAGTATCGTTGGATTCGTCCGGCCGTCGGTTTACCGCACGTGTGGCGACGCGCACAAAAGGTCCAGAGCCGGAGCGGAGTCTTTTGAGTCGTTCGAATGTCGAGATCCAGGATCCAGCAACAGCGTGGAACCGCGTTGGTGTTCGCTTTTCGGGCCCCCACCTTGTTGGACCATCAAGCAGTCACCACCTGACAGGCTTCCCTTCCATCGGCCATGGCTAATAAGAACTTATGTGCGTGTTTATCCGGACCTTATATCGATCTTGCCTCCAAATTACATGTACTATTATTGTGTGCTCCGATCTACCCGCCGCTCTCCGGTCGTTCAGTACGTACGCCGCTAGGTTGACTTCCCTCCGAGACACTCAAGCGGCAGCCTGCAGATAGGCTGTGTCAGCTAGCAAACTGTACAACTGCGAGATTGACGACATATCGAGACAGCTCCAGACATTTCCCAGTTTTTGAATTCGACATCCAACAGTGATGGGAGCTAGTTCATGGTAGTGGGCTGCCTTCGCTACACAGTGACCCTTTCGTCCATGGTCTGGCCAGATTTGCTGTCAGTCTACAAAACATGCGGTACTTGCGGAGAGAAATGAATATTCGACCTTTGGAAGAAGCTTCTCGTCCACAATCCAACCATCCAATCGCCGCCGCCTTCAATTTAACTCAACAATGCGACGATATCGTTCTAACGGATATAAGAATGCGCATGGAACAGCCACTTCAGTTCAGCTGAGCGGCCAAAATGCACGCCATGCCACGATATTCCCTCTTCTATCTAGCTCGGACTGATTATCTTACTTGAAACTATGCTGCCGTGATTCATACCGTGTATCAGCGTCAAAGTGTCTCGGACAACACTTCTCCTACACAGCACATCTTAAAGTGATCGTAGGCTGTCGCAGTGGGCCGGACAAGACGAGATCAGCAGTCAACTACCTTTGGACCTCAATATGCAGTCCCAAGACAGCAACAGCAGCTACCGGCATGTCAGCTTGCCACCAGGGCGTATTCGCGTACTCGAGCTGCAACCTGCCGCTTCTATCGACGATGCTTTGGTCTGTCGACTGAGAGCGCAAACAATCACGGACGAGCCCTACGAGGCTTTATCGTACGTATGGGGCAAGACCGCCGTCCTGCAAAGCACCATCTCCTGCGTAGACGAGAACCAGGCCGACAATGGTGGCGGCCTGCTGCGCATTGGTGCGAACCTGACCAGAGCGCTTCTCGCCTATCGCCGTGTCGACCAACCGAGGCGGCTGTGGGTTGATGCCATTTGCATTCAGCAGGATGATCTGGACGAGCGTCTCTCGCAGGTCCGCATTATGGGAGACATTTTCCGCAACGCGACGCAGGTACTCTGCTGGTTGGGCGCTTTCCAGAATCCGGCCGAAGACGAATCTCTAGCCCTTACTGCGATACAATTTTTGCAAGAGTTCAACAAGGATACAGGCAGCCACTTGGGACAAATTCAATCTGCTATCCAGAAAAGAAACCGGGGCGTCAAGGACGAGCTTGAAGTGGCGGGCGATGACGACCAGAGAGTATTCGAAGTATGGCGTGCTGTGAAGATGTTCTTTGACTGCGAGTATTTTCACCGGGCCTGGATCATCCAGGAGATTGGCCTTGCCCGCCGCGCCTGGATTTCTTGGGGCCGAAGTGATCTCTGCATCGACTGGGCCGAGGTGGCCCGTTTTGTCCTGTTCCTCGACGACAACGGCGCGTCCGTCATCAACGAGCTCGGCCTCCAATCGTGGGTCTGCAACCACATCAACCTCGTGTGGTCCAACAAGCCCGACGGCACGCCAATATTCGATTTTTCCGAGGTGCTGCACTGGGCACGCATCCACCTGTCGACGGATCCTCGCGACTACGTCTACTCGCTGCTCGGCCACCCGAACGCCGTCGTCGGCGGGCGGCTGCTCATCGAGCCCGTGTACACCCTCTCCACCGCCGAGGTGTACACGAACCTCGTCGTCAACACCATCCAGCGCACGCGCAGCCTGCACATTCTCGCCTTTGTGGACCATGGCGAGGCGCCCAACCCGATGGGCCTCCCGACGTGGGTGCCCGACTGGCATGCCCTGAACCTCGTCGCGCCGCTCCGGTGTCCGACCTTTGCCGCTCCGTCGGAATACCGCTCCGTGACCGTCGACGACAGGTCGACGAAATCGCCCGCACTGCATTGCCGAGGAACCATCATTAGCACTCTGCGAGCCTCATCCGACATGATTGACCCCAAAGAGCTCGCACTCACAGACTACGTCGCAGAAGTCAAGAAGAAGCGGCCGTTTCTGCTCGACCACATCTACACCGAGCTCGTCCTCACCCAGCCCGCGGCGACGCGGCCCACCGCCGACGACTTCCTGTCCGCCCTCAGCTTCGTCCTCACGGGCGCGTTCCGCGGCACCGCCCCTGCCGCGCCGGACCAGCAACGCGCCGACTGCGCCGCCCACGCCGTCCAGGCTGAGGCGATGCGCCCCGCCGCGCAGCCCGGGTCCTTTTTCGGCGGCCTCTCGGCCGAGGAGGCGTCGCAGGTGCGCGCTCTCGCCGCGACCGGGTGCGCCACACAGATTGTGCAGGACATGACGTGGACCTCCATGTGTCGGCGGGTGTTTATTACGCGAGACGGCCAGCTGGGTCTCGGCCCTCGCATCGTGGCCGAGGGCGACGTGGTGGCCGTCCTGCCAGGCTCCCGATTCCCGCTTGTGCTTCGGCCGACGGGCACCAACCCCGGAACCGAGTATCAGCTTGTCGGGCCGGCACTGCTGTATGGCTTTATGGATCATGAAGGCGCCAACGCGCCGGCTAGAGCAGCTGCAGAGCAAGAATTCTGTCTAGTGTAATGGTGTTTTGGGAATGCGATACTGTTATTGTATCTTCAAAGTCGTCCAGTTGAGAGGCCCTTTGCACTTGTAGATTCTTCTAAATATATTGACGCTATCGCCAATAGAAACGCCAATTATCTCCAAGTATATCCGGCCCAAGGGCTGGCTGTAGATTCGGTGCCGCTGGCGTGTGCGAATATGTACTCAAAATGTCCACATCCAAAATCGACTATATAAAATTTTATACACATATTCATCATAAGCTTACGCCAGTTGTCGCGTTCTGTCCAGAGAGCCAATGCAAAAAAAAAGATCAAACCGGAAAAAAATTCATCACTCAAACATGTCCAACCCAGATGGCCTCGCGGCACTGCTACCTCTTCGTCGCTCCATTCGCCGACGCCGCCTGTTGTCCGCGGCGGCGGATTCGCTCGCCTTGTCGCCCTCACTAGGGGGTGGCCCGCTCATACCGCTCCAGGTACCGTGTGTCCCTTGTGAGCCGAGACTCGATACTGTTTGCCCGTGGGCCGCTGTTGATCCGGCCGGTCCAGCTGCGCCGGAATAATACGCAGAGTCTTTCCCACGTCGACCCTTGGCAAAAGCAGGCTTAGGTGGCGATAAAGGTGCTAGTTGATCTTCTTGTTCAACCCGTTGCTCTGCTTGCCTTTCTGCGGTGCGGGGGCTTGCCGCTCTGCGGTACCCACGTCCGTTGCTAGGCGAGTCAATTCCGGAAATACTGCTTTCAGAGTCGCGACGGCCTCGAGCAGCCATGGTCTCCTCTTCCGTCAGTCGCCTGAGAGTCACATTTCGATCACGATCATCATGGACCTTGACTTTAACGCTCACGGGCTGACTGTTTGGTGACGCGTAGCGATCTCTATCACGGTCACCATCGCCAGGGCGCTTTCTCCCTTCATTCGCAGCCAGGCTACTAGCACGTGCTGCGGCGGCCGCGGCGGCTCGCTCTCCAGCTTTGCGGCGTCGTTCCGACGGTCTTCTCTGTGGCGCTGATGCATCAGTCGACACTAAAGACCCTTCCGCGCCAGAGTGCAGTACTCCGTGGGGGTCTGCCGGCATAGAAGGCATGGAAACCGGTTCTGAGACAGGAGGACCACTCGATCTAGGTGGCCGTAGTGGCATAGGAACGGGCTGTATATTGTCAGATCGCGCACCGACTCGGGGTGGATGGTCGATGGAGGATTCGGTCATCTCACTCAACGCGGTGTCTGTGCCATAGGATGCGCCATACCCTGTTTGGCGGCGGACGGGAGGGGGTCGTCTCGAATCCCGCGTTGGAGAGGGATAACCGTCACCTGTGAAGCGAGAAACGTTTGTCCCTGAGCGCATATCATCCTCTTCACGTAGCCGCTCCTCTTGCTTCTTGTTGCGCCGGTCTGCAAGCTTTTTAGCAATCCACCCCATACCAAGTCCGCCGAGTATTCCCTTGGCCACACCTCCACCCCCTCCACCTCCAGAGTTCTCCGCTGGCCTTCGATGTGACGGGCTGACGTAGGAAGAATAGTCCGATTCATCGTGGTCGCGACGTGACGGATAAGATGAACGTGGCGTCGTAGGTCTCCCCGTATCACCGGTCGTTCGTGTGGTGTAGGTGGTGGCTGGGTTTGCCGACGGTGGCAACAAAGACGTCTGCGTGGCGGTATAGTCGTCGGTGTATTCGCTGCCGTAGTCACTTGGTTGACCACGCCCGCTGCGGTTGCGGCGAGGTGTATCTGTGGATACTGCGGAATATTCCTCCTCTCTGTTGTTTCTCTTCTTCATGAAATTGGCAGCCAAACCTCCAGCCCCGACAGCAGCTGCAACAGTGGCAAGCGTCTTCATAAATCCTCCGCCACTGCTCTTGCGCTGCGGTGGCTCCGAGTACTTATCGTCATAGAATCTCTCGGAGTAACCGCGGGAGGAAAGCACCTCGGGGTTGGTTCGATAAGACGACGGCGATCGGCTCCGGCTCCGGCTCCGGCTTCGTTCACGATTCTGCTTTTTCTTTCCATTGCGCAGCAAGGCCCAGAGACCAGCACCCGCTGCGAGAGGGCCTAGCCACTTTAGATTACTGCTTTTTTCGGGCTTGTGATCGGAGATGTACTCGGTATCCGTAAAATCTGTTCTCCCGCCCTCAGATCTAGTGCCGCGTGTCAAGTAGACATCGCGGTGGCCGGCATGGCGGTAGCTGAGAATAAAATATAGAAGAACCAAAAACGACATCCAAAGCGCATAGAGTATAAAGAGGTATTTGGGGGAGCCGTAGAGAGTCAGACCTAACGGAACCTGCACAATGCCGAGGAGGCCAATAGCGCGTCCAGACCACTGATGGATCATGCGGCGCAGAGAGCGTGATTTCGTAATGTGTAGCACCAGACGGCCGCCAACGAGTTGGAGAACAAAGAGCACGAAGATGGCAACACCAATGCCATGGTGAGGATTGGTGAGGTTGCGCTTTGGGCCGACAGCAAAAAACCCTAGGATAAAAATGACCAGCAGCATAAGACTCGCCAGTACTTGTAGTTGTCCATGGTAGCCGATAGCGCGGCTGCGGTTCCTGTCGTAGAAGCGGATTGTCATGACGGAGAGAGGTACGATGAGTAGAAATACGAGTGCAGCCATGACGGCATGAGCCATAATGATGCTGTGGTATCCTACAAAGGTCGAGAAACGGTTGCCCATACCTAGAGACGGACGGTTAGTGCGGCGACCAATGCAAGGGAAATATGGGCTGTAGCTGTCGTACCATTGTAACGCATCGTCTCGAAGTTGACCCCTTGCAAATTCGGAAGCAAGAAAGTATTCTTATCAAAGACCCAGGTACCGTCTCCGACCGTCAACGTGTCGGAGGAGTAGCTCGCCGACCCTGGGGCCGACAGGTCACCTGGTGTCGGCGCCATAACGGCGGCGACGAGCGGGCGCTGACCTCGGCGATGCAGTCGAGGGTTCTTGATGTGGAGTTAATTCAACGTCGCTCGAGACAAATCTCCCCGTAGAGGCCCCGGATTCGAGTTCGCGTGCTCCTGGATGCGCCTGTTCGGACGGTTGGAATGCAATTCCTCGTGGCGGATGGACCTTGCGGAATGTTGACGGCGTGAAGCCTTGACAAATGAGGGGCGGTGTGGCAAGCGTCGAGTTGCTGCGGTTTTGCTGGAATTTCGACTAGACTTCCAGGAAAGATGGGTGGATGAATAGTCGCAAAAACATCGAGGAGCTATCTGTACTGATTTTTCTGTGCAAAAGATGCAAGAGGTAGATGCGCATCAGGGAGATGGCATGTAGCACAAGCTGGCTGTGTGTGCCCAAGATCTCGCACCACGCTTCTCTTCTGACCCTTGTTTCTTTTCTTTCCGTTGCGCGGGGTGACGGATGCCTGCCCCACTCAGTCCCGCTCTTGCCCGCCATGTCACCAACACCACTTCGGTCTGGCTACCCTATACTTGTGATACAGACACGTTTTCTCGGGAAAATGTGGCATGGACTAGGAGGTGCCTCCAGGCTCTCCGTGTTTAGGAATAAATCTGGCTTCTTGGTCTAGCGGGGAGGTCTTTTTTAATTAATACCCGCAGGGTGATTATTCTGCGGCCACTCCCCCACTGCTCTTGGTCTGGCGTCTGCGTCACTGGCCAGCCGAAGTTTATGTTATTCAAGCCAGGATGACCTTTTTTGTTCTCAGGTTTGCCACCGGCGGCAAAAAAAAAAAGGAATAAGCAGAAAGCTGTCCTGCTGGCTCACGCTACATGTGTCTTCAAACTAATTCCTCTGCTCCAAGACGGCCTACCACGCTCGAAGCCATGGCAACCTAGACTGCCCGAGCTACCGCCAGTCTTAACGTCATTGATATAGTCCGGCGCGTTCGGGCCTCACCGAAGAAAAATAATATCTTCATCTGGTCGTGTAATAAAAAATGCGTGCTCGTGATGCGTCCGTCACTCGACGCTACCCTCCTGTGCATAGCCACCTGCACGAACGCCCAACACACTGCCAGCTGGCAAGCCAAACGCCAGCAAACAGATGGTAAACACAGTCGTGGTAATTTCCTCCTTTAATATGATAGTTTGAGAACTATAATATGCCATCAATTAGACGCAATTCAGTTACCCTCCATCCGAATCTCCACCATTTAGGCTTGTCAGTGGCCGAAGGTAGCTTGCCATGACCACCAACCAACACGCCGCGCTTCTCGAAACCAAAAGCCAAACGTCACGACGGCGCGAAATCTACGCACACAAAGTTCATAAGCATCTCAGAAATGGATCTCGGCTCAGTTATTTAGATTTTTTTTTGCCCCAAACTCCCCGTGGCCTGTCCCTATTGGGCGCCTCCTCCCTCGCCATAGTACCTTCGCTTCTCGATCGCGACCGCCTCGTAAAGTCAATATATCCGGCCGCCGTCGCGCAGGACCGCAACCTTTAAAAGGCGAGCAATTCCCCTGTTTCAAGAACCACATCCCCCCACCATTCTATTCAGCTTGTCTACTGACCATACATTTCACATTATTCGAATTAGCCGACATTCTTCCAGACAACGCCAGACTCAATCGATATGCCTTGGAAACTCCCGAGTCTCAGGACCGGGGCCCAGCCGAATCCTGAGGTTGGATCCCCCCTCCAGCCCAACAACGGCCAGGATAGCAAGGAACAGGCGACGGTTACGGAGATTCCAGTTGTCACCGAGCAAATTGTCAACGACATCTATGCAGGAAACGAAGCCGCCAAAGCTGCTAGCGACCATGAACAGACAATGACGATGCGGTACACGATCAAATACTACTTCATGGCTCTGTTCTGGGCCGCGATGATGGCTGCCCCCATCATCATGGAAGGTTACGAAACTGCCCTCGTGCCCAGCTTCTTCTCGTTCAAGCCTTTCAAGGAGTTGTATGGTCAAACTTCCAACGGCAACCTCATTGTTCCACCTGCCTGGCAGTCGGGTATCACCATTTCCGCCGCTGTTGGCCAGCTCTTTGGTCTCTGGCTTGCTCCCCGAGTTATGAACCGCTTTGGATATCGCCTCTGTACCAAGGCTGGCCTCGCTTGGGCTTCCATCTGTCTTCTGATCGGAGTTCTTTCCATTCCTGGCGCCAAGCTTCACATTTTTCTCGTCGGAGAACTCTTGCTTGGTGTTCCTTGGGGTCTCTTCCAAGGCATCACCCTTCCTTACGTCTCTGATATCACCCCTCTGAAGCTCCGAGGGCCGGCTGCCACCATGATCAACATTTTCTGGCTGATTGGTCAGCTCGTCTCTGCAACTGTCCTGCGTGGCTCTTCTGAAATCCACAACCCGCAATGGTCAATCAGGCTTCCCATGCTTATTCAATACTCCTGGCTTTTCCCGCTTTTTATTATTGTGATTCTCGCCCCGGAGAGTCCCTATTTCCTCAGCCGACAGGGTAAGGATGAAGAGGCACGCAAGGTTCTTAGCCGCGTCAACCGCGATCCCAAATTTGACCAGCACGGATCTCTTGCCATTATTCACTGCGTCAACGAGCACGAGAAGAAGGCTTCCGAGCGCATGGGATTCATGGACTGTTTCAAGGGTGTCAACCTGCGTCGCACTGAGATCGCTGTCATCATCTACCTGACGCAGCAGCTGGTAGGTTCACCTCTGGTCTTTTACTCTGTCAACGTGCTTCAGAAGGCCGGCCTGACCCAGAGCCACGCGCTTTGCGTCACTATGGGCATGTATCTACTATGCATTGGATCGACTCTTGCGTCGATGGCTGCCATGCGCTCGTTTGGTCGCCGCGCAATGTGGATTGGTGGCCTTGCCGCGGAAGTGGCCTGCCTCATCATCATTGGCACGCTTGGGTTCTTCCTCGAGTCGACCACGGCAGTGGCTTGGGTATCTGCCGTTATTCTTGTTCTCTTCGCCGTCGTGTACAACTTTACTATTGGTCCAGTCTGCTACACCATTGTCGCCGAGACCCCGTCGACTCGCATGAAGACTGCCACCAACTCGATTGCCCGTGGTATCTACATTGCTGTGTCGATTGGCAACCTGTTCCTCGTCCCCAACCTTCTTGAGCCCAAGCCCTTGGGCTGGGGCCTCGGAACCCGCGCTGCGCTCCTCTGGGCAAGCACTTCGTTTTTCTGCCTGTGTTGGGCCTACTTTAGACTGCCCGAGATGAAGGATCGCACCCCCGCCCAGATTGACGTCATGTTTGAGCGAGGCCTGCCGGCCCGTTCTTGGGCCCAGGCCAAGCTGTAGGACAGCGAATAATGATGCGATTAGATCGGTAACTCGACTACAGGTAACCTACTACCGCCTCTGAATAGGATGAGAGAAGGCTAATAGAAACAGGGGGCGGCTCGGATGAAGGAGGAATGGGAAATGGTCAACGCAGGATTAATGGTATTGGGTATTAGATTGAGTCGGGATGGATTAGAGCGGTAATAAATATTTCTTTGTTTGAATGCATGAATACCCACCCCATTACAGTGTGAGCGTGTATCGGTAGTGATGAAACAAGTTGTGTAATTATTGATTATTTTCCCCGCGAACCTCAAGAGCTTTGACTGAGATAACGACTGCCAACTTGACGGCTTAGATGCGATTTTCATCGAGTTGGAGCGAGACCTATCTAATACCTGTGTACATGTATGCCTGGACAGCCCGAGGGAGATGGGCTTGTGAACATACATTGGCTCGAGCACCTATCCAGAATCATTTCAGAGGATCCCAATAGCCTTTCGAACTACGAGACTGATAATGTAACCTGGACAACTTGCACAACCTGAACAACCCGTAAATGACTCAATGATTTTCAGTTTCCAATTATGGGCAGCCTTGACTCGTACTGTTGGCCCTGGAAGAGCACATATTAAGAACAACATACGATGATTCATAGTGAATAAAAGGCAGCCAGCCAGCCAACCAGCCAGCTGATCGGCCAAGCCAGTGAGGAGCGAGCACAGAGGAGCCAACCCACGACCGGCAGCCAGCAAGTCATCTCCCATCTTTCAATTCCCCAGGGCCACCAACGAGGGCCATTAACCGGCTGACCAAACCAACAAAGTCAAACAGCCAGCCGCCCATGGGAAATCAGAAACGGTTGACGAGCAAGTCCGCGGGCTCAGGGTATTTGTCAACATAAAACAGTTGAGCAGTTTTGCTTATCCGACGTGAGTTCGTGGCGCCAACAAACGCAAAATGACTTTCCTTGACCCCAAACGTTTTACCCCCTCCCCATGAATTAGCCAAAACTGGAAAGCAAGCCCCCAATCCTCAGCCGTGCTGCACACGTGGCTCTTCCAGTAAGTCCCTCTACGGCCGCTTCCCCCGCTACTCTTATCGGGCTGGGTATTGTGAGGGGGACTTGAAACCTGTTCTAGTGGCCTCTGCCCGTACATCTTGACAGAAGCGAGGGGCATTGATAGCCTATAGGCTATTAGACATTTGCCTACCTACCTAGCTGTCAGGCTAGGCAGTGTTTTCGGCGTGCTTGTATTGTAGTTGTGGTGGCTGAACTTGTTTGAGCTGCTACTACAGCGAACTACTACACGACGGCTTGGTTTTCATTGTCCATCCTTTCATCATCGTTTCAATTCCCCGGGCCTTCTCCTTGCCCTTTATTAAACTCTATCGGATTTCCCCCGTCCTCTTTCACTATTAACTCGCCTTTTCACTTGCTTCTTCCCCATTGCGTGTGTCCTCCCCTTACACAAGGCAGCCTCCGTCGGTCCGAACGCCACTGCCAACAACGTATAGACACACGTCAACGGACCTTACGAATGTAACCCACACCATATCGGGATCGCGTATTAACAGCGGAAACTCTTTCTCTTTCCCGTACGCACACCGTCTCTGTGTGTTTCGGGGCGGACCTCGCCGGCGCGTAAGTTTCGGGGGTAGAAGTGTTGTGGATGTGTGTGGGTTCTTGGCTGCAGTCGAGGTATTCATTTACCTGTCTAAATAAACACTAATACGTCTTGACACGTAATGCTCCTTTTTTCTTCCCACTTCTTTGTCCAAGGATTTTCCTCGGGCGAGAATATGGCGTTATTTGTTGTCTAGTCCCCGCGCTTGCCCCCCTTCCCGGCCCCGCCACCTCTCCTCCGGAGCCATTGCAACTAGCGACGAGATCGATTCAATTTTTCTTCACAATTTTTTTTTTTAAATTCAAAGTTGACAAACTAGCCAGACGGAACTCGTTGAATCCGCGCATCCCCTTCTTCGAGTTTTGAACTGCACACACCCGCCCACCTAATAAAGTGAGTCGTGTCTTGGGCGCAAATTGACCTTTTGAGTGGAGTGGCACCAGTGGACAAAATAACCCGCCAGTTAGGAACATTAATAAGCTCTACCTTATTCTTACTACTCTATATTTTCTTCTTCTCTTTCTCTTTTTAATTTTCTTTATTTTTACTATCCCTCTTATTTTACTTATCTTGCTCATCTTACTTATCTTACTTATACGTATTCTAATTCCCCTTATTCCTATTCCTAGTCTAACCTTCTTAATAATAGAGTATAGACTTATGTGTGCGGCCTTTTTTTTGTCGACCACATGAGTGGGTTGCGAATATTTATTAGCGCCCGCAGGAACAGCCGGCCAAAAGCAAAAAAAATGGAAGGCAAAAGGAAGTCAAATCAAGTCACGGAAAACAACAGAAAAAGAGGGCTGCCGATTTAGGGATATGGGGCGCTGAATACGTGGCGTCTATAGGCTCGCTTAGCTTTTCTTCAGGGGGAGGGGCTTTTTCCCTCCGAGGTTCACCCAACGAACAAAGTGTAATACAAAAGATATGCAACTGCGACAGATTATGCACATCTGCAAGGTCTTCATAATTCCGTGGAATAAATATGGGCCCGATGGAGTGAGTAGCCGTGAAAAGCTACCAAGCTAGGAGGTATGTACAACCAAAAGGTCAAGCTAAGAATAAGATCAGGCGATGGGCTGGGCACCGGTGTAGCGGTGCTGGGGTGCCTGTCGAATGATGAGTGAGCACCATACCAATTGGATTGGCTGAAATTCTTGGAAGAGCTAGCTTGCCTGCCCCGAACACCTCTCTTTGTCTTCACTCTGTTGTGGCAGACACCTTTGTTCTCCCTCTTGGCTGGACCACATTACACTGCCCGACTTTGTTTGATTTTGGCCGCCCGCATACCACGTCCAGCTCTAGAATGGGCCTGCAACTGACTTTCCAAATGAGCCAACTACTATTATACCCACCGCAGCATGCCACAAATAGCGGCATCGCAAACACTGCCCTGATTCTTGCTTTGAAGAAAGTTGGCGCTAATTCGCAATCCCTGCAACCTCCTGCCCGTTTGATATTGACAAGCCTATATTCCATCCTTTGGTATCGTACTTTCAGTTTCGCTCGTGATATCGTCGCTACAGCTCTCGCTGTACAGTGCTCCTTGAGCTGCTCCTGGGCGACCTGCTGTATGGCTTGCGCCTAGGCAGCCGCTTCCCCTCGTAGCCATTCCGTCAAACAGGCATCATTGCATGCCACGACTCATTCCATGCTGAGAGTGCTGTAACCCTTCTGCGTTTTCGACTTCGGTAATGATATTTTCATCTGCAGCCATGCTGTTGAGCATATCTTGCTGCGAGTATCCGATCCAATATTGAGGGTTGCTTTGCTGTTGTTTCTTTAGCTGGTAGATATCTCGAGCAACCGCTCGGACTTGGTTTCGAGCTCGGTTCGCCGCTGTCCAGACAGTGGAAAGGTGGTTCAGAGCCCCGATATTCAGTCGTATTTGCTGGCGTAAATCATCATCATCGTGTGGTACAAAGAAGACTGCCCATTTGCTCAAATGGACTATCGATGACAGAGTGACCACGCAAGTAAAGAATTGTGTATGTGAAAGGAGCGGCACTCTATGCGTAATCATCTCGCTAATCGCGCATGCCGAAGTGACTGTGTGCTTCGTATGCGTGTTGAACATCTCTCTTGTCGCAACTGGCTGGTATGGAGCACCCGAAGTGATACCTTGCGTCAGCGTCGTGTCGAGCTGAGAGAATGGCTGGTGCAGCATTATAGAGGTCGCATGCATAATCATATGCGCTTGAAACATCATCTCATCTAACATGCCATTCTTCTGCAGCGAATCCTTTTTGTTCTGAGGGAGGTGTAGTCGCCAGTTGGTGAGGAGCGCCTCGATCCTTGAAATGTTCTCGTCGTCAGGCCCTTGTAATGGAGGCGTTCGCATAAAGCGTCCCAAGTTGCGGCCGCAAAGTATTCGATAGGCAAAGGAAGAAAAGTGTCTGTCAACACCAGAAAAGTCGCTGTTTTCTAACTCTTGCAGTGTTACAGGGTTCGGAATGTTCTGCTCAACATTAGCATCATCATTTTGAGGCAACGAAACTGACTAGCAGTAATAGCCATGTTTCTAGCGTGTTCGCAGACTAGGGAATCTGACATATCACTTACCCCAGACAAGAACTGTAGCTCTTCACATGGGAGCGGAACATCTACCGGAACGTCGTACAGTAAAAAGTTGGTGGCGTGGTGAACGCCAGCAATTATACCATCGATGATGAAGAGATCCCACCAGGTTCTCCGCCAGCTCTCTTCCATCACGGGAAGACTTCTACCATGAAGGGTCGCAAAGGCCCCGGTATTTAAGCCAATCTGCAGGGCAAGAGTCTCGGCGTCTCTGAGAATCTCCCTCGCCTTGTCATTCTCGCAGTTACCATCGAGGGCCACAATCAACAGCACCATTGCTTGGACCACGAAGCCATCTTTTAGTCTTTGGGGCTCGTAGACGAGCCGATAAGCCTCGTGGAAAAGGGACTGCCTTGCGTTTCCGGCATCGATGAAAAGTGAGCCTACCCAACGGGCTGCTGCCAGCAACGGCTCCAACGAGGGCTCCCCTATGAGGGCGAGTAGGTATGGTTTTGGTAATACAAACGGGTGTGACGCATGGAAATGGTAGAAGAAGGCGTCGAGGCAACGATCCGCGAGCGGAAAGGTCTGCAAGTTTGGAGGAACTGGTTGTTTTGTAGGGGAGACACTGGCAGGGTTGTCCGGAAAGTAGGACCGGTAGAGCTGAAGATCGGCGTTTGTTGGTGGCAGGTTATCAAAAGGGTATGCGCCCGTTGCGTAAGGGACACCGGCAGCGCCGCTGAAAGACTGTCTTTGGGTGGATAACGCGTCGCTGACGGCAGAACCAGGGTCCATTAGCATGGGAGTGTTTGGTCCATCACCAGAACTCGAAATTGACGCCGGAGGAGGGGATGTGACTTGGGATCTATTCGTGTTTTGTGGTTGGTTCTTGCGCGGTCCCTTATAACCCCGACGAGAAGCCACATAGATGCAGTCGGATCCGGAACCCACGCATCTTGCACAGGGATTCTGTCCGTCACATTTTAGATGCTTGCTCCGCTGCATTACGTGTTAGTAAGAGCAGTAAGGACACAGTTCAACGATTCCGTAGGAGCAGAGTAACAGGCAAAGACTAGCCACATTGGTGCCCATGCAAAGGGTTCCCAGGTGGTGTGGTCTTGACACTAACCCCTGCATACTGGGCGATCGAACAACATTCAACAACGATTAAAAAGACGAAGGGGTTTGGAGGTGCATACGCATGCTAGACAGGCTGCTGGAACAGTTGCATCCTTTGACCGAGTGTCGCCTGAGGACGCCGAGTTTGACGGGAGGATGGACGCGGTAGGTGTTGTGGTGCCTGAATGATTCGAGAGCGACTGAGAACTTGCGGATCTGGACCCAGAGGAGAGGTTATCTTGACTTCGGCTTGATGATGAGTCGGCAATGGACCCCCTCGGGGCAGAGTTTGCCATGGCAATGGCCAATGCCAAGGATGCTGTGCGATATGCTGATCACGCGGCCGGTCAGGCATGTAAGCCGAAAGTAAAAAAAGGAAGAAGAAGCAAGGCAGCAGAGACAAAAGGAAGCTGCAGAAAGCTCCGAGGGCTATGAAAACCGAGGAGACATTGGAATGGAGGCGTGGTGAGAGAGTAGACATTGGCGGATGTGTGGGAGGATGCCTTGTGGGGGGGTGTCCGAGGGGAAGACAATAATAAGGCCCATAGCAAGAAAGGTAGAAAGGCAATAGGTAAGCAGGCGGGAAAAAAAAACCTGATGGCACACATATGAGGAGGCCAGGTCTGTCATGTCAAAGTGCTCAGCCGACAGCAAGGCAGCGAAGGAGGTGCTAAGAAACGGTAGGCACCCAGGCGGGGACCTCCTCAGAACAGTGGACTGGGCGTTGAGAGGCAAGCGGGTACTCCGACTCCGAACTCTGCAAGAAGAACACGAAGAGCTCTGTTTGCGTTTTCCAGAGGTCCGGAATAAAGGCGGCCGTCTTGTTTGAGTACCCGCTTGGGGGAGGGGACCGAGACCTTGACGGACCGGCGATGCAGTCCCGCCAGAGGTACATAACATATTAGGTAGGTATAATAACATAATAACATATCAAGAGACCAATGTAGGTAATAATTGCTGCAGGTTCATCCATGTTCAGGTTCATCAATATACGGAGTGCCTTGGTATAATACGTAACCAGAGGGGCGCTGAAGACAGGGCTCATGAAGCTTGCTTGCTTCTTCCAATTCTTCTTCAGCGGCATTGGGCCTGCCTGGTCACACCACCCACACCCGCGGCACGGTACCACGGGCTGCAGATACAGATGGCGGACTCTAGCGGTGCATCAGTGCTGGGGCCTTCTGAAGCAGCCCTGCAGACTGCGGACTGCAGACTGCAGTGCTCAACTCAGTGGCACTCTCTCCACTAGCCAGGCCTCCGTCCACGCGAATTACAGTTGATGAAGCGCCTGTCAAAGGTCGTAGCCCCTGTAATACGTCCCGAACCTGAAGCCCCGAAGCCCACTCTCCTCCCTCCCCTTCCCTGCCCCTCCAGCGGCAAGCGGGCCTGGCCGCCTTCCCCTCCTACTACAGATCTCCTGCCCCCCCCCCCCCTCTCCCAAACCCCTGCCGGCTTTTGTCCTCGCACCACCGCACACCCACAATGCAACCTCAGCGCCTGACCAACAAGTCTGCTCTCTTTATTCCTGTGGCCCTCTTCTCTGGCCCGCCAGCATGCATGACGCCCGCAGACTCTGCTCATCATTCCCCAATTCTGCCCTCTTATTTTCTTTTTCTCTTTTTCTCACGTTTTTTCTTTCAGGGCGCACGCTAACCCCTGGTCGCATGTCCATACTCGTAACGGTAACCCCTCGACAAACGGCTGATCCCGGCATCGACACCATCACGCAGCTCTCCCTAGGGCTTCACATCGCGACTCGTGCCTATCGGCCGAGACTATCTACTACTCCTTATACTGTTATCGATTTTCTAGTTACCTCATCCACCCTGATCGGCTGTGGAAGTCCTTTCTTCTAACTAACACTTTCCCGTGATCAGGTTGGATTCCTCCATCACGACATGACAGGTTCCAGATCTGTCCTGAGCTCCTAAACTCTCCTTCTCCGCCTCACAGCCCCCGGTATAGGCTGCCATGAGCATGAATGCTTCAAATGCATGTACACACTCGAAATCCGAAAATCCTCGCATGATTCCCGCATCCTAAAGGATACTATTGAGAATAAAATGGCGTTTAAAACGAGTAAGTTGGCGGCCGCATACTACCGACCCCAGCTAGCAGCGCCACAATGCTGATTTGAAACTTAGGCGTATTGGGCTCAACCTCCTTAAAATTTATCATTCTTTTTTGACTTTTCAACGGTCAGACGAGCATTGACCACATGACAAGGTGCCCACCCCGGTCAACCGCGCCAAGTGATGCGGATAGCCGGGCTTCATTCAAGAACTACATGACAACAATACTGAATATAGGTTTCAAAATTTGGCTTGACAATCGTGTACACGAAACCATGGCTACGAGCTGCGCCAGAGTCTCTCTGCACAGAAATACCGCCAAGAGTGCTTTGCGTTGTATTCTGACGTTAGCATCAACAGCCACTTGTCATTGGCGGCCAGAGAAGCAAACTACGCCATTCCCGGACGACCAATCGAGACCAAGTACTGAATTAAAGAATATGCATACGAAAAACTTTACGGCGAGTTCACTTCGACAAGCGATGAGTCGGTTGCATGATGCCTATTGGAGAGTATTCCGACTTCACCGCCTACCAAGTCAACAGCGGCTTCTTGGCATCCACAACCCGGCAAGGCCTATACCCGTATCAGTATTTCCTGACGCCTCACTAATAAGAAATCGCGCTCAATCCTGACCTTGAACTGGTCTCAATAAGAACAGGTAGGGCTGGAATTACGCGAGCCGTTATCACGCCCAGCATGGCAGGTGACAGGGAATGCTGCCCGAGATGGTGACCGATGCGCTGGCATGGTCCACTCAACTTCGGGCCACAACAACGCGCTCGGGTTCTAATCAAGGTCAAGACAAAGACATCCTGGTGGGCTGCCACATCAAGCTTCCAAGCGTCAGGCAGTCCACACCAAAGGACCCGTCTTTGTCGGGCCAGCATCCGTTGCCACTTCCTTGTGTTATGCAGAACGACAAATGTCGAAATGGTGGTTGACGCGGGATGAGAGCCATCCCAAAGACTTAATCGGCGAAGCCCCCAAACGCCTAGCAAGTGAACCTTTGCCTTAAAGCATTGTCCTACATCATGAAATGTAAAGGCTTGCTCAAGATAGTCGCCCTTGCTGTGGGCTGGCTCTCTGCATACCTGCTAATCACAACTTTCCCTTTGACAATTGTGATGTCATTGCGATGAAGCATTAGCAGGGCTCCGTGTGTCAAGTTCATGTTCCCCAGACCCGTTGCTGGGAAAGCCATGTGATTGACGACAACCGTACCAATGTCCTGCATACAGGATCCGCGAAGGGTAATACTAGTTCTGCATTGAAGACTCTCGATGTTTGGTGTTACCGGTCCAAGAAGTCTGACATTGTCAGTGGATGAGACAACTGCATCAAGCGCGGACAACGCCATTGCACGGTGGAGCCGGAGAATTTGTCCGCAGTGTTTCACAGGCTGAAGTACTGGATAGAGACCAATCTTCCCTCCCCTCCCAGCTATTCCAAGAAGCCACGTGTGGAAGAGCAAAGATTACCCGATTAGCCAGAAGACCACTCCCACCCCCTGGCTCGATGCCAAGGAAAATGTTGGGTGTCAATGGGATGGACGGACCCCGGATCTGTTTCGTCTTTTCGGCAGTTGTGGGCAAACTAATAACTCGCAAGGACGGAGAAAAGTGGGATTGGCGAGCCTTTGCCCTTGGACGCAGATATTCACAGGAAGGACCGATGTCGGCGTTACGACAACTTTATACCGAACCAACAGAGTTACACAAGACCCGAGACGGTAGATACAGAGGTGCCTTGAAAAAACACAAAAGCTGTATCTGGAACTCTGCGAAGGGCCGGGCGGATTCGGCCTGAACCTCGGGCCAACCAATTCGCTGGTTCTTACTGAGATATAGCTGATGGTGGACAGAGAGCAACAGAATGGAATACTATCCAACAATGATCTACGTCTTAAACTAACCGGCCACTGCACGGCTGGACAAGCCGAGAAGCTGTCAAAATCGGGGCGATGGAAAGGACGTAATGGACGAGGCTGCATAAGGATGCGTGATGAACGAGAGGCACCGCATTTCCTGAGGACGCCGGCGGCCGGATTGAAAAAAAAGAAGAGGGAAAGTCATCGGTCTACTTGCCCTTCGCATTGCTGCTTCGGCATAAAACTCACTACCAAGCCTCGAATAGCGCATGCGGGACGCGCCCTACCGTAGAACCGGCCGAGACACGCGGCGGCTCCGCACCTCCCTCAACCGGTCATGACGGGAAGGACCGAGCACTACTCTAGATGGGGAGGTAGGGGACCACCTTAGGTAGGTGACGATTCTATGGCATTGATGGGGAATCGGGCCCTGCAAGAGTTGGTTCGTACCGCGTGACTCAAGTCTGCCCGTCATGGCCGGGTGAGTGAGTGCTACCAGCCCTCAACTCAAACTCGAATCGAGGGTTCGGCGGATCGTGCGTCGACCGCCAATAGAGCGCAGAAACCGCGTTGAAAGGCAAAGGCGCAATGGCAGAGTGGCAGACGGGTCCTTTACTAGCACGGCTATGACGCATTGTAATTTTTCTTCTTCATCTCGCACGGCTCATCTTTCTTGGCGCATCGGGATAGCGTCGATCAGGGTGTGGGCTAGCTTCAGTCACGATGAGCCGAGACGCCGGTGGAGGGACGGCACATCGGGACAAAACATTTGGCGTCGTATTTTCTTTTTCAGTTCTCAATTTCATGGAAACTGTTGCAGTAAGGAGGAACATAACGGAAAATCAAGGTCATTCGTGGCTGATGGAGGATTGATATATTTAGAGAAGGATAAATTGGTATATATTTTAGGCCGACGGATATAAACAGGTGGATGCGGGCGGCGTGCGCCTAGCAGCAGCACTCGCAGCACTCAAAGCAGCAGAGGCCAGCGCAAAGACCGCAGCAGATAGCCTACGGAGGATAAGATTAGCGATATGGCCCGCCTTGGAGGGCTTACATAGAAGATTATGTATCGGACGGTGAAGAGGGAAACGAAGCGAGGAAGTTGGTGAGAACGAGGGAGGGCCACTAAGGGTGTTGACGTACCTCTCCCTCGCCTCCGCCGCCACCACGAAGACCGACGGTCATGGGTTCGGCAAGGCGCTACGTTGAAACCATAGTTAGCAATAGCTCCGTGGAGACGGTCTTGGAGAAGACAATTGGCGTTCGGCGATGCGCGCCATTTTTCTTTCTGTCCCTCATTTCGGATCAACGGGGCACGTACGGGCTGCTCGGTGCTGGGGCGGGCGGCCCTGGCCTCGGGGTTGGTAGCAGCCATCGACTGCTGCTGGGGGATCTGTTCTTGAGAAGGCATTGCGACGGACGGGCAGGTATTTCTATGTTCGGGTTTTGTGCGGCGAGAGTGAAAATGGGTTAAAAAAAGAAGATATAAGAGCACCGGGGGCGGATCTCTGTGCCGCAAGGGGAGAGGGAGACGGGTTTTTATACCTCTCGACTATTTACTAGCCACACAGGTGCAAGTACCGCGCACGCACGATGAGGACGTAATTATAACTAGATTACGCCGTAGCGAAATAAGCAAGGCTTTCGTCCGTCTAGAGGAGCTAAGCCGCAGCGGACATGGTCGGATGGAGACGTTTCGGCACAGTTGTGCCGTGTGGCTCTGGAGAACTTGGGCTGAGTCGAACCGTAATGCGCACTTCTCGCGTGTGAGTGGACGGAGGGATGGCCATTCTTGAGGCTGGTGTCAGTGATGATATCTTTGAGGGGCTTCGGCACAGCAGACCCGAGTGTGGATGAGGAAGCTTGGGGAGGAACAGGGCAGTGCTGACGGTGGGCTCTCGCTGTCCGTTGTTAATTTAGTTACTGCGCTGGCACGAATGCACATGCATGCAATCTGTACTGGTCCTTGACCTACTTTCTATATTTCGGAGGGCTCGAGGGCTGTGGCCGTTTGAGATAAAATGCAGGGATAAAATATGCACAGAGTACACTATGCATCTTGACATGGCACAGAGTGGAAACGGCGCGTCGCTGGCTGGATGCAAACTGAGACAAGTCCGAGGCCGCCGGATCATCGCCCGTTCTCTATGCGCGGAAAAGACCAGACGACTTGCAATTCGTACAAAAAACAACAGCGACATGAGCCGAAAGGAACAAACAGACACAACGGTTCGCGGTAGGTAGGGTTGTCAAGCCGAGCGTTGGGCTGCGTACTCTGCGCGACCCTGTCATTTCGGTCAACCTGCAGGGCGCAGTAATAATAATGCAGACAGACCCGAGTTCTTTTGGTTCGCTGACCGCGTCGCGCACTGCAACGGCCAGGGAAAGACTGAACAAGGAGAAAAAGGCTGAATGACATCATGGGTGATCTGTTCGCGGGCGGCACCACGACCACCCCCCTCCTTTTCCCTGCTGATCAGCCACGAGGACACCACACCGCCGGACCTGATCAGTCCAAGTTCCCCGCGAACAAGGAGGAATCGAGGGCGACGAGAGAGACGGGTTGGAAGTGGTCGTGGCCTCGAGACCTCAAGGCTTGGGTCAACGGCCCACCCACCCTTGTCCGATAACACGGCCCCTGGTACGGAGTACACGTTGTACATAATTTGTACATACCAGTCTAGATAATAATGGCCTCAATCATCATCACCAGTAATCCGAAGGACACGGGCCTTTGTGATTTTGGTCCTCAACCATCTGATCCGCACTGATCCGTGGCAGCTTCGTAGAAGGACGCCCGTCGCGCAGTAGGTGTGTCCAAAGCAAGCATGGTCAGCTTGTCATGTGCGTCGAGAGGCATGACCAGAACCTGGGGCTTCTGCTTTAGCTTGTCGTCATGCTTGATTTGACGATTTTCGCTTGCTTTATCAGATGCGTGCCGGGTCGGGATGCGCTTGCTTGACTGGTGGTCCTTGAAAAAAGGGTTGATGGTGTGGATGGACTTTTACAGGATATGTGCTAGTTAATAACTTAGCTGGCCGGCCCTCCAACGAGTGGCGGTGCTACAGTGGCTGCAGAACTACTGATGCGCCACAGGACAAGGAAGGGCTGCAGCCAACTTGTTCGCCATTGAAAGAGATATATAAATAGATGATTCATGAATGAAGAGTCAATTGCCCTCAAACTAATTTGTATACAACAGCTACGAATTCAAATCGAATGCCCTCGAAGGCGCTCAAGTTCACCCATTTGAGCGTGGCGCTACGTGCATACCCGAGAATTCCCCGCAGCCACCTCACAAACACACTAAATCACTGCACCGCCAAGCGGCCAGCGTGAGGCTGAGTCGTCATCCGGCATGTTGTCTGCCTGAGCGAGCCATCAGCACGTTTTGTTTCCTTGAAACAACTTTTTCCCCTTGACTCCAAACGCCGGCCCTCGATACCCTCGCTCGCGACAACGCCGGCCCGATACCTACAACGCACGTCTTTTGCCGGCGTCACGCTGCTGCATCTCCTAGCCGCCCTGCGCTCTTCCAATTCGTTCTGCCCGCCCCCAATGATTGCATCCTGAACCAACAACGACATCCTTCCGCGACGCCTCGATCACACACCTCGGCCCACACCACACGTTTCAACGCCCCCCCCCCCCCCCCCCCC